GCAAGAAGTTGATGCCGTCGGCGCAAGAGTATCTCAAAAAGGCACTGTACACCTGGTTCTCTGACATGCGCGCCAAGAATATGCCTATCAGCGGAAGTGTGTTACAGCAAAAAGCACTGAATTTTGTTCGCATTCTAGGCGTTGGGGACTTTGTTGCAAGCACAGCTTGGCCGACACATTTCAAAGCCCGGCATGACATCGTGGGAAAAGTGTTGTGCGGTGAGTCTGCGGCTTCATTCTAGGCGTTGGGGACTTTGTTGCAAGCACAGGTTGGCTGGCACGTTTCAAAGCCCGGCATGATATCGTAGAAAAAGTGTTGTGCGGTGAGTCTGCGGCTTCAGACGTCAATGGTGCAGCGAATTCGGTGTCGTCTGCTTTGCCAGACATACTGAAAGACTATGATTCGTCTGGCATTCACAATGTGGATGAGACAGGACTTTTTTATGAACTGCTTCCGAAAAAGACTCTGCATGGGAAGGGCCAAGCATGCAGCGGAGGCAAACAGCAAGAAATGTGTGACTCTGCTTCTCTGCACTAACATTTATGGTTCAGATAACACTTCCTGCTTGTCATTGGCAAGAGCTTGAGGCCTCTAGGCTTCAAAGGCAGCAGAATCTTGCCAGCAAAGTACGTGGCAGACAGAAAATCGTGGATGACATGTGCCATCTTCTGTGATTGGATAAAGGCATTTGACCGCCACATAAAAGCCCAAGACAGCAAGGTGTGCTTGCTAATTGATAACTGCTCAGCTCATAACGTTGACGACATTGAGCTGGGCAATGTGGACGTGCGATTTTTCCCACCCAATCGCACGGCTTTGCTTGAGCCGTTAGATCATAGTATAATTAACTGCGCTAAAAGTGCTTATCTGCAGCAGCTCATTCAGTAACTGTTGCTAAATATTAACACAGAGCGCCAGACCAAAGTGGATTTATTCATAGCCCTTTAAATGGTTGCCACGTCGTGGAAGGCGACCAGGCGAAGCATCATAGAGAACTGTTTTGCTCACGCCGGCTTTAAGCCTGACGCTGAAGTAACGTCCTAACTCGTCAATTCAACTCGACGAAGACCGCGATCGTGGCAGAGCGGAGCCACCTTCCAGAAAAGCAACTGCGGCCTGGGCAACCCTTCCGGACCCCGGAAATATACCAGAGTATGTGAGCATGGATCAGTTCTTTGCCGTTGATGCGGACGTTATTGCTCATAAGGAGCTAACTGATGAAGTTCGCCATGCAGACACATCGTCGGACGATGAGTGTGACGCTCAAGGCACTTCGGCGTCGCCTCCTGCAATGACTGTAATGAATGCATTTGATGTGATTCGCAATTTATTTGGCGTTCATGATGATGACGTCTCAATGCAGCAGATCACCGACTGCGAACATGGCGCCACGGTGCTCGTTACGAAAGGAAGGTGGCAAACGAAGCTGACAGACTTCTTTCACAAATAAATTATGTTTCTAACATTTCTTGTCAAATGTGACAGTGTTCTGGGGCAGATTTGGCCACAACGAAATTTCTGCTCCAACAAAATTTTTTGCGCGTCCCTTCGGTTTCGTTGTAGCGAGGTTAGATTTTAGTTATGGCTCTGTCAACAAAAAAGGTGTATTTGGGGCTTCTTTCTGTTGCCAACAGTAATCGTATATCTTGTGTGCTTTACTTGCGTTATCATCGCACCGCTTGGTCAAGCATGAAGTCAAACGCAGATGGCATGCTGTTGGCTAATAGCCGATCTAAATCATGAGCAGTGTTAGGATGAGATCTGATTCTTGCTACAGGATACTATAATGTACCAGCTCCTTGCTCCATAATCTGCTGACGTCACACAGTAGCCACACCAGAGCACTTAGGGCTCGCAATGGGAAAGTCATTGCGTTTCATTGCGCGTACTCGAGGTCATGAAGCGCCTTGATGTAACTTCTTTTGTGCCGGCCATCCCTGTGTAGCTTCTGGGGCACTTGTTGGTATTATAGAGAAAGCATTCGGAAGTGTGTGACAAACCCCTGAAAATCTGCTTGTTCTTTATCGATCTGAACGATTTTTGTGGCTATCAAATCGTGAGGCAGTGAGCTCTGATATCGAGGTCATTCGATGATCACTTTAAAAAGTGGTTCAGGGCCCCTCTATTAGAGGGCAGACCTTATACAATATGGTGATATTTGCCATAAAACTGAAATATAGGGCGACCCCTCATACTATGAATCTTCAAAGAAGAAATTATTAAAAATCGCAAAGTATCGTAGCGTACTCTTAAGGCTCCTTCACACTGAAGTCGGGGCGGCCAAAGCGGTGAAGTGGCAATGCGGAAAGCAGAAAAAGCCTCCTCGCCAGGCGGTGAAAGCAGGAGAAAAACCAAGCGGCAAGGGTGATCGCTCGGAGCAATTTTTGCCGCCTGCCGAGGCTCGCCACTTTGCTGCAGCCAATCAGAAAGCCACGCAACAGAGGCGTCAGTGTGCATTTAAGAGAAGCACTGACATGTTGTAGGGACACATGCGCAAAAGCACGAGATGCCCACCTACTCTGCTGACGGCGATCCATACAAGGCGGGCGGTCTGAACAGGTGCACACACTGGCTGTCTCGCCGCTTCAAAAGCTCGCTTGCCCGCGTTGCTGTGCCGTCTTTGGTGTGAATGCGCTTTTACCTTGATCAATACGCAATACAACTAGCTGCACTGTGGTAACATTTCTTTTTATTTGGACATTAATGTTATGTAGTTAAACACCGAAAGGCCACAAAGTGTTGACACTCGGACTCATCCGAACTTGATCCCAATGACGTCTGTTTTTCACTAGTAACATCCCAGAGTGCATCATCCTGCGTTCCATTCAATGCGTTACTGATGCAGCATTGACGGAAAGACGGAAGTACGCTGCTTCAGTGCAAGACCCTTCTGTTTCATAAATCGGCGCACCCACAATGGAAATCCCTTGAATTGCACTTTCCTGAGCCCATAGTCGTATGCTATCTAGAGAGATTTCACGCGGATGCCCTTCCCTGTTACGGGTAGCGACCTTGCATGCAGCTCCCGGACGAATTGGGTGAGTGGCGTTTCCAGTTCAGGGTGCAGTGGAGCCCGTCCAAGAAACAAAGTTTTTTGTTGGTTGTTGCAGAATGTGATGCGCTGCTTTTGGCTCCTCCAGTATCGGATGCTTTTCTCTACTGCACCTGAATTCCCGTTGTGTCGCCAGGTTGCCCCTGTGTTTCAACATAATCGATAAATTTTTTCTTAACGCCTGTCGTAAACTGCCGTGAACTACCACTCATTTTTGAAGGAAATAGAAAAAGAAAACAGGAGACTGACAGCAGATAACCGAGGCGAAATGGCGTTGCTAGAACACTGCAGGCCTTGCCTAGCCTTGCCCAACAGCGCTGCTGCTAATGCTCACGATGGTAATGGAGGTTTACGGCTTCAGCTTCCCGTTATTGCGAGACTACCACATTTTTTTCTGCCAATGACTGGTATATAAGACGAGTGTCGATTTTTTATTGCAATTTTTTGAAAAAATTTCCAAGTTGTATATTCCTATTTTTATGGTACATTCTGAAAAACTGAATATGATGAACCTGAATTTCGATTAAATTGAATGTGCAGCTGGAGCACTTCGCTAAATTAAGAATAGTTAAGCAAAATTGAATTTTTATGTTTTATAAGGGTAACTAAACACCGCATTTTCTAATGCAAAAGTGTGTAAGGCGTGCTATTATTTTACTATTTCTATCCCTCCCATGTAGCTTCTAGTGCACCCATCTGAACAAAAGAAAGAGAGAAAAAAAATAGCAGTCGGAACTTGAAATAACTACCTGCAGAGGTGAAGGTGCTGCGCCAATCGCGCTATGCTGCACCAATCTGACCTGCTGCGCCAAGCCGAGCCTAAACGACATTTTGCACGTGCAACGCCAAATTTAGTCGAGAGTTTTATCATCGGCCGAGCAACATGCTTCGGCTGCACAAACGACACAACCGTGTGCATATAAAATTCCACGTCCATATCAAACCTCGTATTTCGGATCATGCCTGAACCTTGCACCACATGAACACAAGCCGCGCGCTTGTCTTCGCCGCGATAGCATGGCAACCATAAGCGCCCCGAAAGAGGAAGGTAGCGCATATTTACCCATGTATATATATATATATATATATATATATATATATTCTCATGTTGGCTGTGGAAACAAGCTTTTTTTAATATTTATTTTTATAGAGCCCAATGGGTTTAGTGTGTAGACAACTTTTATTATATAGTCTTGAGTTGCTGTTCATGTTAAATGCGGTGTTTTAATCTTAGTTTGAACTTTGCAACATTTTAACATTAAATTTTTTTATGCGTCTGAGTTCTAGCAGCTGACCAGAAAGCCGCTTATGTTTCTTTTTTTGAGTTACTGCACTTTCACCTGTGATGTTGTAAGGAATAATAAATATGAATTTTGGATAAGTCTGGTCACTTGATCAGCATTGGATGCTTAGTAAAAACCATTGAATTTTTTGGGGGATATGTTTACCAGAAAGCAAACATTGTAATTAACAGTGATGTGTGGTCTGAGAAATCTGCTCCAAAACTAATTTCATGCTCCAAAACTCACTTTTTACTGCTCTGAAGCTGCTCCAAAGCCGCATTATTCCTGCTCTCAAAGCTGCTCCACAATACTAAAACCAGCTTCCACCCCTGTACCTGTAAGCCGCTTGTGTTTGTCGTTGAGTGTTTCTTTACTTTGTGTGTGTGTTATTTGCGACCAAAGCATGTCATTAAACCTGTAACTTGGAATGTACTTGGCAGATTGAAATACCTTTATTATGGGGGACTTATGGAGCTATAAAATCTACTAACGAGGTCAATTTATGATGTTAAAAAGGTGGTTCAGGGCTCCTTTAGGAGCTGCAACCGTTGTACTTAGAATATAGTTTAAAGCTATTCAGCATGGCACTGCTTGTTGCTCACAATGCGACTTCTGCGTGTAAAAATTGATCAGTCATAACCACTTGTTTGCCATTTTTGTGCAGTCTCAAGGATGACCTGGTTGGTTTCCGTGTCGACTACCAGATGTACAGTGGTGTGGTTCAAATGGCCGAGAGCCAGGAGCAGCAGGAGTGTGCTCGGGAAGGGGACGCCGCTACTTCCCTGTCCATGTCGCCCGCGCACTCCTCTTTGGACATGGCCGACGACTCTGGACCAGGTATGTTCTGCACAGTTTCAGTTGTGTATGCTCTTGTCATGGCCGACTTTCAGGATTCTTTTTTTTTTTTTTTTCTTGGAGAACGGAGTACTGTCGTGAAAAAACAAAAAAAGACAAAACAAATTGGTCTCCAAATTTTCGTTGCCTTGAATCCTAAAAGGGCACTAAAGTGAAATGATCAATGAGATTATACAGTCGAACTCCGCTACAACAAATGCCGCTTCAATGAAATTTCTACTACAATGAAAAATTCACGATTCCCCGTCAGGAGTCCATAGGAGTCAATGCATACCGTAATTACTCGAATCTAACGCGCACCTTTTTTCCGGTTAAGCGAGCTCATAAATCGCATGCACGTTAGAATTGAGTACGAACAAAAAAATTACGGTCAATCTAATGCCATCGGCAAATCCAAAATGGCCGCCCCCTACGTGCGTCGGCATGGCGCGTCGGCCATTTCTGCCTATGTGTTTCCCATGTGCGGCACTTCGTACGTGTGCTGAGGAGTTTGTCATCTAGTAGTGCATTAGCATCGACGGCGTGGAAGGGCCGACTCCAAATACTCGAGTGCACCACGATGCCACTTTTAAAAGAAAAGTCATCGCGTGTGCAGAAACGGACGGAAATCGGGCCGCATCGCGGTCGTTCAGAGTTCCCGAAACGTGCGTGCGGGACCGGCAGAAACAAAAGCAGAAGATTGTCGACAGCAAAGCTTCACGCAAAGGCTTCAGTGGATCACAGCAGGGTCGGTTTCCGCAAATTGAAGAGCTGCTCGGCAAGTATGTGATTGAGCAGTGAGCGGCACAGCGGCCCGTGACGACAGAACTGCTCCAAGTGCAGGCTATGCAGTTAGCCTTAGAAAAAGGGCTAATGCGGAGCCAGTTTAAAGCGAGCAGGTGCTGGCTAACTAACTTTATGAAGAGGAAAGGCTTTTCTCTCTGAAGGCGAACGGGCATATGCCAAAAGTTGCCAGAGGAGTACGAAGAAAAGCTTCAGTGTTCAGAGGTTCGTCTTAAACTTGCGGCACAACAACGGCTTTCTGCTTGGGCAAATCGGGAATGCCGATCAGCTGCTCTTTACTTCGACATGCCTGGCGCCACAACCGTCGAGAAAAAGGGGGCGAAGCAAGTTCGCGTGCTCGGCGAGTATGTGCTTGAGTTGCTCGGCGAGTATGTGCTTGAGCAGCGAGCGGCACAGCGGCCCGTGACGACAGAACTGCTCCAATTACGGGCTATGCAATTAGTCTTAGAAAAAGGTCTTATTATTGTAAAAAGGTTTATTATTGTATTTCACCTTTTTACACACAAAATTTATATAGTTTTTTGCACTCTACAGTTCCAAAGGATCATAGTCAGCTATATCTGCATGCTTTATCTCAAATTTTTATAGGTCAGAATTGTTGCATAACAATGGCCATAATTTTGCAGTATCTGACCTGCAGAAAGAAAACCAAGCAATCTACATGAAAATAAATGACATATTTGAAAAGAGGAGAAAAAACTCTATTAGCATGCCAATTTATGTTAAATTCAGACTCTTATTAAAGAAAATCGTTTTTCAAGTAGCATCTTCCCTTAAAGCGAGCAGGTGCTGGCTAACTAACTTTATGAAGAGGAAAGGCTTTTCCCTCCGAAGGGGAACATGCATATGCTAAAGCTTTTGCGGAGGAGTACGATGAAAAGCTTCACAGTTTTCAAAGGTTCGTCCTAAACTTGCGGCGCAACAACGGCTACCTGCTTGGGCAAATCGGGAATGCCGATCAGACGCCTCTTTACTTCGACATGCCTGGCACCACAACCGTCAAGAAGAAGGAGGCGAAGCAAGTTCGCGTGCTGACCTCGGTCCACGGTAAAACTACAGTGACGGCAATGCTCTGTTACACGTCAGATGGGCACAAGCTTCGCCCGTACCTCATATTTAAATGGAAGACGCTCCCGAAAGGAGTCGTTTTTTTTTTTTTCTCGAGTGGTGTGATCGTGCGGGCCAGCAAAAAAAATGGGTGCGCGTCGCAATCGATGCCTTACGGTTTTTTTTTTTTTTTCGCGGTGGAAATCAGGTGCGCGTTACAATCGAGGGCGCGGTAGAATCGAGTAAATACGGTAAGTGTTGTCGGCACAACGAACACTTTTTCTTCGGTCGTCCCGCTTCAACGAAATTTTACAATGCAATTCCAGGCTCAGATACTTATTGCTATACAGTAAACCCAATCTTTAACATTTCGATGTATTTTCAGAGCCTAAAAATGCGTCAACAAAGTCTAAAACATGCATTGGCATTACCAGAAACCGCCGCTGTTCAGCAAGCATGGGCGCTGCTATCCCTCGATAGTGATGGCAATGAGACTGCCCTGCTTTTGTTTTGCCACTAGCTTTGCTTTTGAGCCGCAGACGATCCTAAGCTGAAGCTGCGTCGCTCAGTTTGTGGTTTCCTTCTCGCAGCTGCTGGGTGCAACCGCGGCACGATCCCTTTTCCGATTCCGATACTTATCATTATGTTCGCGCTTGGCTAGTGTGGTAACTAATCGGAGCGGCTATTCGTCCGCATTATCAACAAAATCAGCTAGCCGCGAGTGCTGGATGATAATAATGGCATCATCATCATCATCATCATCATCATCATCATCATCAGCCTAACTACGTCCACTGCAGGACAAAGGCCTCTCCCATGTTCCGCCAGTTAACCCGGTCCTGTGCTTGCTGCTGCCAATTTATACCCGCAAACTTCTTAATCTCATCTGCCCACCTAACCTTCTGTCTCCCCCTAACCCGCTTCCCTTCTCTGGGAATCCAGTTAGTTACCCTTAATGACCAGCGGTTATCCTGTCTACGCGCTACATGCCCGGCCCATGTCCATTTCCTCTTTATTTCAACTATGATATCCTTAACCCCCGTTTGTCCCCTAATCCACTCCGCTCTCTTCTTGTCTCTTAAGGTTACACCTACCATTTTTCTTTCCATTGCTCGCTGCGTCGTCCTCAATTTAAGCTGAACCCTCTTTGTAAGTCTCCAGGTTTCTGCTCCGTAGCTAATTACCGGCAAGATACAGCTGTTATATACCTTCCTCTTGAGGGATAGTGGCAATCTACCTGTCATAATTTGAGAGTGCTTGCCGAATGTGCTCCACCCCATTCTTATTCTTCTAGTTACTTCAATCTCGTGGTTAGGCTCTGCTTTTATTACCTGCCCTAAGTAGACATAGTCTTTTACAACTTCAAGTGCACTATTACCTATCTCGAAGCGCTGCTCCTTTCCGAGGTTGTTGTACATTACTTTCGTTTCCTGCAGATTAATTTTAAGACCCACCTTTCTGCTCTCCTTATCTAACTCCGTAATCATGAGTTGCAATTCGTCCCCCGAGTTACTCAGCAATGCAATGTCATCGGCGAAGCGCAGGTTACTAAGGTACTCTCCATTAACTCTTATCCCTAACTGTTCCCATTCTAGGCTTCTGAAAACCTCCTGTAAGCACGCGGTAAATAGCATTGGGGAGATTGTGTCCCCCTGCCTTACACCCTTCTTGATTGGTATTCTGTTACTTTCTTCATGAAGCACTATGGTAGCAGTTGATCCCCTGTAGATTTCTTCCAGAATGTTTATATATACTTCATCTACGCCCTGATTCCGCAGTGTCTGCATGACGGCTGATATTTCTACCGAATCAAACGTCTACTCGTAATCTATGAAGGCTATGTATAGTGGTTGGTTATACTCTGAGCATTTCTCTATTACCTGATTGATAGTATGAATGTGGTCAATTGTTGAGTAGCCTGTTCTAAATCCTGCTTGTTCCTTTGGTTGATTGAATTCGAATGTTTTCTTTACTCTGTTAGATATATCCTTTGTATATAGCTTGTATACTACAGAGAGCAAGCTGATCGGCCTGTAATTCTTCAAGTCCTTGTCATCTCCTTTCTTATGTATTAAGATGATGTTAGCGTTCTTCCAAGACTCTGGTACCCTTCCCGTCAGGAGACACCTCGTAAACAGGGTGGCTAGTTTTTCTAACACAATGTGTCCACCATCTTTCAGCAGGTCTGATGTTATCTGATCCTCACCAGCAGCTTTGCCTCTTTGCATGCTCTCCAAAGCTTTTCTGACTTCTTCTATCATTACTGGTGGGGTGTCATCTGGGTTACTGCTAGTTCTTATAGTATTAAGGTCGTGGTTGTCTCGGCTACTGTACAGATCTCTGTAAAACTCCTCCGCTATTTTAACTATCCTATCCATATTGGTAGTTATTTTGCCTTCTTTGTCCCTTCGTGCATACATCCGAGTTTTGCCTATCCCAAGTTTCCTCTTCACTGCTTTGACGCTTATCCCATTTTTCAGAGCGTGTTCAATTCTCTCCATGTTATACCTTCTTACATCGCATACTTTACGTCTATTAATCAACTTCGAAAGCTCTGCCAGTTCTATTTCGTCTGTTGTACTTGACACTTTCATGATTTGACGCTTCTTAATTAGGTTCTTCGTTTCCTGGGAAAGCTTGCCAGTGTCCTGTCTAACTACGCTGCCTCCAACTTACACTGCACACTCCGTAATGATACTCGTCAGATTATCATTCATTGTATCTACGCTAAAGTTGGTTTCCTCACTAAGAGCCGAGTACCTGTTCTGCAGCGACACTCTGAATTCCTGTACTTTCCCTCTCAGTGCTAGCTCATTGATTGGCTTCTTGCGTATCAGTTTCTGTCGTTCCTTCTTCAAGTCTAGGCGAATTCGAGACCATACCATTCTATGGTCACTGCATCGTACCTTGCCAACCACTTCCACATCCTTTACGATTCCTGGGTGTGCAGTCATTATAAAGTCTATTTCGTTCTTATTTTTGCCATTAGGGCTCCTCCATGTCCACTTGCGGTTTTCTCGTTTTCGGTAGAAGGTATTCAAAATCCGCAAATTATTGCGTTCTGCGAATTCTTCTAGTAGCTCTCCTCTGGCGTTTCTAGTGCCGATGCCATAATCTCCTACTGCCTGGTCTCCAGCCTGCTTCTTCCCTAC